CCCGCTGCACATGGGGAGGGGGCCCCCCAACCCGGCCTCCCCCTGCCCGGGAATCCCCCATCCCCGAGGCTGCGGCTGCCCCAGCAGTCACCTCCCCATGGCAACCCGTCCCCATGGCAACCACCTCCCCATGGCAACCCATCCCCATGGCAACCACCTCCCCATGGCAACCGGTCCCCATGGCAACCTCCTCACCCGTGGCAACGGTCTCCCGTGGCAATGGTCTCCCGTGGCAACTGCCTCCCCATGGCAACCATCCCTCCTTGGCAACCATCCCTCCTGGGCAACCACCTCCCTTGGCAACTGCCTCCCCATGGCAACCACCTCCCATGGTAACCACCTCCCCATGGCAACCACCTCCCATGGTAACCACCTCCCCATGGCAACTGCCTCCCCTTGGCAACAACCTCCCATGGCAACCATCCCTCCTGAGCAACCACCTCCCCTTGGCAACCACCTCCCGTGGCAACCATCTCTTGTGGCAAACACCTCCCGTGGGGGCCAAGCCCCCACCTCTTGTGCTCCTCCACGAAGGCCACGATCTCCTCCTTGCTGTTGGGCCGGTCGGGGATGGTCATCGGCTCCTCCATGAAGGGCTCATAGAAGTCAATCTCGTTCAGCTTCAGGGTGAGCTTCTTGGCCACCTGGGGTGGAGTTGGGGGTCCCTGAGCCCCCCCATGGGTGCTGGCACAGGGGGGGTGGCCCTGCCCTGCCCTGGGACCCCCACCCCTACCTTGCTGTCGAAGGTGGCGAAGAAGGGGATGTAGGGGTGAAACTCCTCTGCAGCCTCCTCGAAGGCCTTGAAGTCTGGGGGGGCAGGGAGGGGTCCTGGTGCTGACACCCCCAGCCCAGCCCCGTCCCATCCCGGTGGGTCCGGCTCCAGAGGGAGCCCCCCAACCCCGTGGTGCCGAACGCTCCTGGGGGGGTGTCCAGGTGGGTCCCTCACGGAAGGACGGATGGAGGGATGATGGAGGGACGATGGAGAACCAAACGACGGATGGAAGGATGAATTAGGGCTGTGACTGGGGGGGGGACACACATGGGGGGGCTACCCCAGCCCCACGTACGCTCGGACTCCTCGTTCTTGAAGTATCCGATGAGTTTGGGGTCATCCTCGATGTTCTCGAAGGCCCGGAGCTCATGGTCGCCCTCAATGAACTCCACCGGGTCCTCCAGCACCTGGTGGGGGGTGGGAAAGGGGAGAGTGGGGTCCCCAAGGACCCCCCCAGGTGAGGGACAGAGGGGACAGGGGAGGGGATCAGGACACCTGGGTCCTCCCCCAGCCACACAAAGGGAAGGTTGGGGGCCCAGGGTCCTGAGATAATGATGGGGGGGGTCAGTGGTTGTGGGGGGGGGTGCCACACGGCTGGGTCCCCCCACAAGGTCAGGGGGG